CTCTCTCTCTCTCTCTCTCTCTCTCTCTCTCTCTCTCTCTCTCTCTCTCTCTCTCTCTCTCTCTCTCTCTCTCTCTCTCTGACTTCACTCGCTCTGCCTCTCTACCTCTCTCTCTTCTAGTCCTAGATCGTCACCCTGGATACACCCACTCAGGTAAGCTTCCACCTTGGCGGCTATAGCTGCTCTCTTCCTACACTACCTCTAATCTAACTACAAGCACTCTCTTCTTCCTCAGGCACAAAGTGCCCAAGTTGCATTAACGCACAAGCTGCAGCAGCACTTCCGCATCTCGAAAAATGAACAAGTGATGAGCCGTTTCACTGTAGCAGCTAAATATAGGACTTGACTTGGCTTGACCTGCTTCAGACCGGTACCGGTCAGCCGTGGCATGTCTGCTGCAAACGTTTTGTCGGTCCGGTGGTTTCCGGACTTTTCTGGGACAAGCTGCAAAATTGGACTTGGGACTGCTGGACTGGACTGGACTCTTGTGGACTTTTCTTGTCGGGGACCAGACGGACTTCTACCAACCTACGACTTTTGGTAGCGACACCTGCCGACCTACGATGCTTCAGCTTACGGACCCTACGATCTATCCTACCAGGACAGCCAGGGACTGGGACAGTTCGGTACTGTGGAACCTGGACTGGGTTGTCTGCAGCATGAATCCTTTCAAGACAAGGATAAGGTATGCAATCCAATACCATGGTGATCAGCACACTTCACAAACAAAATGTGATCCCATGGTTTTCCAGAAAGACCCAAGTGGTACGCATTACGGAAGAGGGAAAGGCATCCATACCCGAGCGTCTTCACGTGGTAGAAGTTGCCCATCCACCCAGACAAGTAGCTGCTCATTCTTTGGCACAAGAAGACGGGGGCTCTGTGAGAGCTGGGAACGTGAAGACAGCAGCACTGAAGGTCCATCCGATGCAACTCCATTGCTCTCGGCGGTCTCAGGTTGAATTGCATGCCGCTTTAGCATTAAATAGAAAGGCATGCACTCTTCCAACAATGGATAAAGATTCTTTGGGAAAGCCTGCACAGTGCACAGCACCACCACACATGTAAAATTCTCACCTGGGCGTTCGAACTTCGACCCGGCCCTTGTGACTGAATGGCACAGACATGTAAATGTTACTAAATGGACACACAGTTTGAATCCCATCAGATACAGTCAGGTTAGCAGCTACGCACGCGCACACTCACACACACGCACACACCCACACCCACACACCCACACACACGCACACCCCCCCCCCCACACACACACACCCACCCACACACACACAAAGGCATACACGTACACACACACACAAATCCGCACACACACACACACACACACACACACACACACACACACACACACGAATACACACGAATACACACGCCCACCCACCCACCCACCCACACGCACACACACACACGCACACGCACACACACACACACACACACACACACACACACACACATTTATTTTAGGCACCCCTACTCAAAAATACTGCACTTGTACTGCTGCAAGCTGGCTTCTCATTAACAATCTACAGAAGATCTGGCATTACCCATCTTCAATCCCCTCAAGAGCTGAGCACCAGTACCCCCACGTCCTCCCATTTCAACTTTTTGCATTCAAGCAAAGTCAGATTCCGGTTATCATGGCTCCTTTGCATGCTCTACTGCTACGGAATCCAGACAAAAATGAAGGTTCAGGTTGCCTTTGCTTTTTTTTATTTTAATATTCTACAACTTCCTAATTTTATGATTTATCTGGGTTTATTGTGGTTTTCAAGCGTAGTGCAATCAGACTCGCTTTCTTTCCCACTTCGCACTCATGCAAACAGATGGCGAATCACACTCAGTCTGGCGCACAGCGCCCACTCAAAGCTCAAAGATATGGAAGTCGAAAACACAGTTCGGATACAAACTTGCTTCAACAGAATATGGCGCATCAGCGCCTGTACAACCCAGCTCTCGTCACTCTGTGCAACACTTCTGTTCCTACTCACTCACTCTGGATCACCCTGGATATCCCACACGCACACACACACTACTACTAACACACTCACTAGCTATGGCTAACTATCCCTCCAGCCCACTTCGTCTTCCGGCTCTCTGCAGACCACCTCGCACAAGTCGCTCAAGCAGCGCTTCCGCATGGCTTATGCAGGCATGCATGAATGGCTGGGGGCGTGCCTCTTAATTTATACTTATGTTCACTGCTGGTCTGCCTCTTTCCACCGGGCCCATGGTGCACACAGTCCCTCGTGGTACTTGCTGACCGGACTCAGTGAGACTGGGACTGGGTACCGCTGACTCAGCAAGGGTGGACTTCACCACTTGCCCACTTGCCTCTAGTCTACTGTGAGCAACGTTGGAAGGGCCACTTCCGGACCTTCCGGAAGTCTGTGGACTTGGCCTTTCGACACTGTAGCAGCTACAACCTTGACCTTTCAGGACTGTAGCGGCTACGAACTTGACCTTTCAGAGGAGCTACAGCTACAACTTCTAGAACTCACTAAGACCTTTATCCGACAGGTCTACAGATCGAACCCCTACAACCTACGGACCTACGACAGCCTACCAACTGGTGTGAATACACAGGTCACGGGTTCAACTCTCGGGGTCGACACAGGTACTTTACACAAGTAAGGTAAGGACTAGGGGTCGAGCCCTGGGATCTGCATTCACTACTGCTAACAGGTGAATACCGTTTCAGTAGCTGCCAGGAGTATGTCTTTCCCCTACATTGAAAGGCATTAGTGCAAGGAATATGAGCGAGAACGATAGACAGAAACCAGTTGCAAAATCACGAAGTAGTCCAGATAGTCATGCACCAAGCAGAGACCAGAATGCACCAAGATTTCATCCAAATAAGAGCAATACAATGAAGTTGAATGAACTCAAGTGTCAGTGCCGACCCTCCCTGGTCTCACCAACACTGTGTCCAATGTCACTCCTACTGTCTGGCGCCCAGAGCCCAGCCTACTCTACTCAGCCTATCTACTCTATCTATGTTCTTGCGACTGGATCACATCGAAGTCGAAGACCAATGTACGTGACGTCAACACCAATGCCGACTACTAGCATATACCAGATACGATTCTCTCTCTTCCCCTCATCACACCTTGACCCCCACTCTCTGCATTCGCCTCCTACCCGAAGACCACCATAGCCATCACCTGCCTGCACCCCTGCAACCCAGCTGTGGCTGCTGTGCGCCTGCTGCCTCAGCAGCGCCCCTCACCTCAGCGCCCATGTGTGCGTCCGAGCCGCAGCGCCCATGCAGACACTAGCACATCAACGCAGCAGCGTGTCCGGATTGCCTTCCAAGGCCAGAATACCTTCCCAGGAGACACTAGCGCATCAACGCAGCAGTGTGTCCGCTGCTGGCTGTCCTGGCCAGGCGTGTGGGGGACCCAGTAGCTTGCCTCTGGCCCCAAGTGTCTGCGCCCACGCTCAGTTTCAGATACAGGCCTGGGCCTCGTGCAGTTAGGCAAGTCCAGGCAGCCAACCGGCCTGCAAGTGTTTGCAGCATTCTCATTGGCTCACGGCACATGTGTGACAACAATGCTGCTTCCTCATTGGCCCGTAACCAGTCCGTGATATGTCGGCCTCACACAGTGTGTGCCCAGGGCGCAACCACCTGAGCCCTGGGCTCAACTGTACAGCGCAGCCCTTTGCTTGAGCCTGGAGGCTCACGTTGCTCTGTAACCAACTGGCGTGACGTCACCGTCTGAGTACCCATGTATGGAAAAATGTCGAAAACAGGCCTCACGTGGATATTCAGGCCTGCCGTCACTTAGGGCGGGCACGGGCTTGCTAGGGGCTGCAGCCCAGAACACTCATATGTCTGATAAGGGCCCAGCGAGGGTTCATTCCTTGCATTCCATCCCCATTAGCTTCGAAAGTCCGCTGAGATGCTTCTACACATGTCCCTTCCCCTTCAGTCTTCGCTTGTATTCTGCCACAATCTGAGGGGCTGTCTTGACAGGCTCCTCTTTGTGAACCAACGATCTTCTTTTGGATCTGTATGATGCCTGAACCTGACCCGGTGTTCCCTCATATGTGTAGGAGGTCTCCCCCTGCCAATGGGCTTGGGTACAGGCAAGTCTCAAAGTTCCAAGATGTTGCCAATGTCCACGCGGGAATTGACCTGTCTCAGCGAAAGGTGGCAGCTTGGAAGCGTGGAATACAGGGTAAGTGCGCAGATGACGAGGGACTCTAATGACGCACGAGGGACCATCCAATTCACTACCACAATATCTAGGACTTCCCAAAGGCCGAAATACTGAGGCATTAGTTTCCTAGAGATTCCGAATTCCTGACCCTGTTCACTAGCCTTTTCCCAGACATGTTCCCCTACCTGAAATGTGGACTGTCGTCTGCGTTTGTTCTCAGAGGCAATCATAGCCTCCTGAGACTTTCTGATGTGCTCAACAGCCTGCTTCAGCAGCATTTCGTACTCGACACCAAACTCTATGGTTCCAGGCGTTGCAGCTGGTCAGTTTTCGGGAAGGAGGAAGTCTAATGCTGATCTAGGCTTCCATCCCAAATGCAGTTCATTTGGACAGACGGCCATGGTGCTGTGAACAACATTGTTGTACAGACTGGCGACGAGAATGATATTTCCAGCCATGGTCTTTCTCTACGGTTTTTTTTTTTTTTTTTTTTGTGGTGGAGATCCCACCGTGGTCTCCCACATTAAAAATAGGCAGCCAAATGGCTACAGCTAACTCCTGGACAGCCATAGGCTGCCTTTTTTCAACTCCTGGACAGCCATAGGCTGCCTTTTTTCTGTCTGGCACCCGTTCTGAGGGGTGCCAGCGGGAAGAACAACTCGTGATAATCACGAGCTAAAATCCGGCAGGCTCAGAGCGGGATGCAAAAAGTTCCCCGACTCTGGCGATTTTTATTTAAAATTTCGTTAAATAAAAAACTCTGAAAAAAATCATGCGCGTGGCATAGGTGCCCACCTACTCAGAGCAAAATTTTCAGAGCCAACAAAAATCATTTACTTCACCAAAAAAATATAGGCGCAAACTGCAAAATACAGATTTTTCTCAAAATCTTGATCCCACTTTTTCATTTTCATTTTCTTTTTTCTTTTCCTTTTTTGCCCATTGGCCTAACAGTGCCCTTTGGAAGGCTGTGGCTCCAAGGCACAGCCATGAACTGTTGAAATGCAGACCAGAGTCCAAATCCAAATGGATTCAGGGCATGGTGGGGCTGTGCAACCTCATGAAAAATGACCCTCACCACCCTACTCACCAGATGTGCAAAATGAAAACGAGTTTCCCCCTTTCCCACGGGAAGACGCAGTGCCTCGTCAAGCCGCGAGGCTGCTGCTATTTCAAATGGTAAGGGACCAAATTTCAGAAAACAAAAAAATCAGTAACACAAAAAATCCCTAAAAGAGGTTAGGGTTGACGCTCGTGAAAACGGACGCCTGGCCTACCTGCCTTTGAGTTACAGCTCCCGACCTCTTATAAACGCACCATGCGGCAACAGCAAACCACTCCGAACTCGTGGCCACCTAACTGGGTAGGCCTCGGCATCAGTCCGTCGGCCCCTTGGCTCGCAGTCAACCCCCGCAAGCCCAAGAAAAAAAAAGAAAAAAAAAACCTCCTATTTCTCCTGTGTCGCGGTCCTATACCCAGCGCATCCGTCATTTTAGCATTCTTAGACCCAAAATCGCGCGGCTTAGCAGCCGCGTGACATTACTCTAGGTAGAATAGGTCTAGTTCTACCACTTCCATGTTCGCACGCCTCCGCAGCTTTGACAAGAGCGAGCACTGCCAATCACTTTCGTTATTCCCGGACGCCACAAGCGTCCGGATTAAAGTCCGAAAACTTTTAGTATCTCAATCATAGTTCAAGTCAGAATAAACTTTTGACAAGCGTCAGTCTCATCAAGTCTTTCAATTCAACGAAAAGGTCAGACAGCGTCCGACGTTGAAAAACCCCGGCAAATACCCTTGTCAGGGTATTTGCCCCTACACCGGGGTACCGTTTCTGTTTCGGCCTCTCGGCCTCTATCGGACCCGGCTATAGACTATAGGACCATCTATCAGTATAGGCCACTTAGGGCCTGTCTGTCCTAGGGGTAGCCCGGGCCTTTCTGTCCTAGTAGGAAATTCAGTTAGTGTTAGGGCTGTATTTTCCCAAATTTGCAGATATGTCCCTCACGAATTTCCTCACTGATAGGTCTCTCGGTTAGCCCTTAGCCAAACAAAATTGCGAATCTAACCTACGGCTGTACTATACAGCCTTGCAGTCAGTCTCGACAATTACAATCAGCAAGTCATCGCACAGAGGTTACATCGGGCCATGAGGCCCAGGATCTTATTCGACATTTTGTGGCAGACAGTGATTGGACATTCGGCAGGGAGACTATTGTTGGACTTATCTATCGCGATCTTGGTCTTCTCCCTCACCTCCATCGTCGTCTCGCCTCCCCCCTCATCTCCTCGTCCGTGGTATCTCCCCATGTGCATGCTCACGGAGGGACTTTTCTTCCATGTATCTGGTCCCTCCCCTCTCTCTCACACGTGTGGTGTATGATGGGGTGTCGCGTGAGCATCTGACATGTTAGGTCATATCTTTGTGTCTTCCGGTCCGCTACATTATGCTATCTTCGTAAGAGATGCTTTGCTGACTCTGCATTGTTCAGTCGAGTCCTTTTTATCACTTTGCGGATCCTTCGCTCCATATACATCGCTCGATTGAGCATGTACCAGTTGGTATCGGAGTTGTGCTTAGTGGATCAGGACGAAATCTGACCAGATGCGAAAATATGGGATCGATTGATCGATTGATTGATTGATTGATTGATGGATGGATGGATGGATGGATGGATGGATGGATGTATGGATTGATGGATTGATCGACCGATCGATCGATAGATTGATTGACTGATTGATTGATTGATCCATTAATTAGAATAATCTAATTAATTTATGTTTGCGATATTCTACCTAACTGTAAATTCTGCGTCTTTTTTTCTTTTTGATCTTTGGAATTCTCTCTTTGCGCTAATTCGTTTTTTTTGTGAATTTCGAATCACGCATAAATTGGTAGCTGAAATATCGCTTTTTTTTTTTTTTTTGAAATTTGAATTTTTTTGCTGCTTTGATATTCCGGAAGTTTTTTTTTTTTGGTAAATCTCTTTGGCGCATTTGTGTTTTGGGGATCTCATGTTTCAAAATCGTAATTGCATCGTTTACTCTCATCTGGAATATTCTGATTTTTTTTTTTTAATTCGGAATTTTGCAAGGAATATGAGTGAGAACGATATACAGAAAGCCAAGTTGCGAAATCACACAGATGTCCAAGTAGTCATGTACCAAGCAGAGAGCATAAATGCGCCAAGATTCCATTCACATAAGAGCGTTACAGTGAACTCATGAGCCAATGTTCAAGCCCTCAGGCGTCACCAACACAGTATCGAATGTCGCTCCTACTGTATGGCCCCCAAGCGCCCATCCTACTCTACCTAGCCTACACTAATACAGCCACATTCATGCAACAGGCTCACTTCGGCTTTGAAGACCAATGTACATGACGTCAACACCATAGCCAACCTCCCTCATGCACCAGGTACGTATCTCGTTTTCCCTCAAAACTTCCCTGACCACCCACAGTTAAGCGCCTCCTCCCGAAGACCCCCTGTCGCCCATCACCCGCACACGCCCCCTGCAGCCCGGCTATGGCGGCTAGCGACCCGCTGCCGTGCAGCGCCCCACTCACCACCAAGCGCCCTAATGCGCCCCACCCCGCTAGCGCAACATGCAGCCACTTGCGCAGCAACGTAGCAGCGTGACCGCAATGCCTGCATGGGCCAGAATGCCTGTCCCTGGCTGCTTCACTCCCTATATGGAAGTGGCAACCTCTGTTTCGCTGCTTGTGGCCTGGCCGAGAAGCTTCCAGTAGCTTCTGGTCGGGCCCCAGTGCCTGCGCCCAGGCCCAACTCTGCAGTTGAGGGCCTGGGGCCTTTACAATGGGGCACACCCAGTCTTCCCTCCCCGTTTGCTGCATTTGCAATGACCCCCGGGGCAGGTAAGTCGACCATGCTGCTTTATCTCAGGCCCGCGGGCAGTTTGTGATGTAACTGCCTTGCATTGTGTGTGCCTGAGGCCCAACTGTATGGCGCAGCACACACCTTCTGAAAAGAGCTGAGAGGCTCACACTTCCTTGCAACCAACTGACGTGCTGTAACTGGCTGAGTACCCACTTATGGGAAAATGTCAAATAAGTCTCCCACGAGGGGTCATTCTTCGCATTCCATCCCCCTTAGCTTTGAAAGTCCGCTGAGATGCTTCATGCTGGTGCCTTCCCCTTCAGTCTTCGTTAATACTCAACCACGATCTGAGGAGCTGTCTTGACAAGTTCCTCTCTTGGGGACCATCGATCTTCTTTAGGATCCGTGTGATGCTTGAACCCTACCCGGTACTCTCTCATAGGTCTAGGCGGTCTTCCCTGTCCAGCGGGCTTGGGAATAGGCATGTCTTTGTGTTCCAGGATATTGTCAACGTCCACGTGACCATCCATGGTTTGGGGGGCAGCATTGATCTCCTTGATGGGAATTGTGGTGTATCAGCCAAAGGTGCAAGCTTTGAGGCATGAAACACGGGGTAAGTGCACAAGTGACCATGAATTCTAATCACGTACGGGGGACCATCCAAATGACTACCTACAATATCTAAGACTTCCCAAGGACCGAAATACTGAGGCATTAGTTTCCTAGAGATGCCGAACTCCTGTCCCAACTCACTAGCCTTAACCCAAACATGCTCCCCTACCTGAAATGTGGACTGTCAGCGATGCTTTTTCTGAGAAGCAATCATCGCTTTTTGAGTTTTCTTGATGTGTTCGACAGTCTCCTGCAACAGCTTCACATATTGGACACCAAATTCTATGGTTCCAGGAGTTGCAGCAGTTCGGTTTTCAGGCAGGAGGAAGTCCAGAGCAGATCTAGGCTTCCACCCCAAATGCAGCTGATTAGGACTTACGCCGGTGGTGCTATGTACAACATTGTTGTACCGACTGGCGACGAGAGGCAACTTCTCATCCAGCATCCTAGTCATCCTGGCTGGGCTTGATATAATGCCGCAGCAGATGCTGCACGACGCGGTTCATCTGTTCAGCCTGCCCGTTGGCTTCGCGACGATTCCCGGAAGTCATCTAGAGTTGGCTGCCCATCTGTTCAGCGGCCTTTTTCCACATCTCGCTGGTGAACCGGACATCTCTGTCACTAACAGTTGTCTTTGGTAGTCCAAAGTCACGCACCCAGTTATCCATGAATAACTTGATGGCATGCTCAGTCCTGGCAGTCTTCGGCATGGCAATTATTCTAGCGTACTTAGTGAATTTATCAACTATGACGAAGATGTGCCTCTTGCCACTCTTGCTGGTCGCAAGGGTGTCCAGGAAGTCCATGGAAACACTCTGTCCAGGACCAGCGGGAATGGGCAAGGGCTCGAGTAACCCAAGCGGAGCTTGAGTTTGCGGCTTGTCCCGCTGGCAGACTTGACAAGTTTGCACATATGTCTTCGCATCGTCAAGCATGTTAGGCCACCAAATCGCTGTACCAAGTTAGCGCTAGTATTCTTGTAGCCAAAATGTCCCATTGCGTTGTGACACTCTCCTGAAAATAAACTACGCAAAATCTCTCTAGATGGGACAACTAACCTCTTGAATCCTTCCTTCTCAAGAAAGAGCAACCCATCCACCATCACAAACTCGTTAGATGTGGCCTTCTCTTGGGCCTCTAGTTTGCGCATGATGTCCATCATGACAGGGTCTTCCTTGTAGGCTTCCACCAAGAATCGAGTGACATTGTCAGATAAGCCAAACTCGGTAATCGGCGCACCTAGGTATTCTGCCCTACGTCACAACGCATCAGCAACCTTGTTATACTCTCCTTTCACATAGTCTAGCTTGAAGTCATACTGATCTATGACTTCAATCAAGCGTTTAAGTGCATCAGAGAGAACAAGTTGTCTTGATCCACTCGAGTGTCTAATGGTCAGTACTCAGATAGAAGAACCTTCCCAACACATAGTGTCTCCAATGGACAAGTGCCTTATAGAGAGCATAGAGTTCCCTCTCATAGGTTGACTTCGCCAATTTCTTGGATTGCATCTTCTTGCTCATGTACTCGACTTGCCTCAACTTCTTCCCTTCCTTTTCAGCCAGCATTGCGCCAATGCCATAATGGCTTGCGTGAGTGGTCACAACAAATGGCCTTTCAGGATCGGGGGCCATGAGAACCTCATGATGTGTGAGGGCATACTTCGGTCTCTTGAAAGCAGCCTCACATGTGTTTGTCCATTCCCATGGAGTGTCAAGGAGCGTTAGATCAGTCAAGGGGGAGGCAATAGTACTACAGTTCTTTATAAAATTGCAATCATAACCACACATCCCCAAGAATGATCCGACCTCAGTCACAAATTGGGTTGTGGCTAGTCTCCAATGCTAGCCACCTTCGCATCTTCAGGCCTAATCCCTTCCGCGGAGACTTCATGATCCAAGTACAAGATTCTAGTGCGACCAAACTCACATTTCTTTGAGTTTATCCTTTACTTGTTTTGCCGGAGGAGAGAAAGTACTTCGTCTACATGGTGAGCATGTTCCTCGACAGTCTTACTAAAGATAAGGATCTCGTCGAGGTACAGGACGATTCACTTCTCTAAGTAGTCATGGAAGATCCTATTCATGGCGTGCTGGAATGTACCCGGCGCATTGCAAAGGCCGAAGGGCATCACCAGAAACTCATACTGACCGTACCTGGTCTAAAATGTGGTTTTGTGTTGGTCTTTCGGTCTAATGGCAATCTGATGGTAGCCGGATTTCAAGTCTATATTGGTAAAGTACTTACATCCCTGCACTCTATCCAATAGGTTGTCGAATAGGTTGTCGATGCGGGGTAGAGGCTCTATGTTCTTGATGATGATGGCATTGAGGCTTCGATAATCAATGCACATCCTTAGTGATCCCCCCTTCTTCGGGACGAATAGAACGGATGAGCCGAAGGGGGAGCTACTAGGCTGTATCCAGCCCTTCTCTGTGAGCTTTTTTAGTTGTCGTCGAAGCTCGTCCAACTTGGTCGGAGCCATCCTATAGATTCTCCCTTTAGGTATCTTGCTACCGGGGATGATTTCTATGGCATGGATAACCTCCCTGTCTACGACCCCTGTAGGCTCCTCAAACAGATCAGGTACATACCTTCCTCTTGGTTCTGTTCGCAACGACATTTTCTATATCTGGGGGTGATTTAACGGCCTCCCCTATCTCAGAGACAAAAAACAGGTACATACCTTCCTCTTGGTTTTGTTCGCAATTGTTGTAAAACGCTGATGCGCACAAGCACCCATAGGAGTCAATTAACCTACTAGCTTTATACTTAGCCATTCTATCGGTCCTCCCATTAGCCAAGTCATGCTTTAGCACTTTTCTATCCTAGTCAAACCGGGGCTTGGCAACCTCAAGATAGTACATACCTAACAACATGTCAAATGGTAAGTCGTCGCTAACCAGGAACGAAATCTTATGATTAAGTTCCTGTCCTGCATAGGAGAAAGTACAGACCACGTCCTTGACGTAGTCCTCCACCAACATGCGCTCTTTGTTAGCCAAAGTAGATGGTACCGGTCTACTAAGGCGCCGCACCTGGTCCGGTAGGCGCGGCCTTTCAATGCAGTCGCGACTTATAAAGTCGAGTGTGGAGCCGATGTCTACGAAGGCACCACACTTGCGGCCGCTTACACCAACTTCCACAACGAAGTGCTCCCCTCTAGGACCTCGACTTAAAGCCACCCAGGACTCACGAGGGTCCCTCGCCGACCATTCTCCTTGTAGGTCGTCTAAGGCCTCAGACACATCCAACGAACAGAGTACCGTTGGGTCTATCTCTGTAGGTGATTTCACGACCTCCCCTTTCTCAAAGACAAAAAACAGGTACATGCCTTCCTCTTGGTTCTGTTCGCAATTGATGTAAAACACTCGTGCGCGCAAGCACCTATAGGAGTCAATTAACCTACTAGCTTTATACTTAGCTAGTCTAACGGTTCTCCCATTAGGCAAGTCATGCTTTAGCACTTTTCTGTCCCAGTCAAACCGGGGCTTGGCAACCTCAAGATAGTACATACCTAACAACATGTCAAATGGTAAGTCGTCGCTAACCAGGAATGGAATTTTATGATTAAGTTCCCCTCCTGCATAGGAGAAAGCACAGACCACGTCCTTGATGTAGTCCACCACCAGCATGCGCTCTTTGTTGGCTAAAGTAGATGTTACTGGTCTACTAAGGCGCTCAGTGTTCGAACTAGTTCCATTTTTCCTCTCGTCGAAGAGTTGTCCATAGTGACATGTCGAACGACTAACAATCTGGCGTGTAAACTTTGTGCCAGTCTTGTTTGAAGTGCATCCTGGTCTGGAATCTCAAGACAAAACTCTTGACTGAAGTCCAGAGATGAGCATTTTTTTTTTGAAATGCCACTTCACCCAACCCACCCAAAATTATCTTAGTACATGCAACCCTTAAAAAAAAAAAAAAAAGGTTTGAAGTTGATCCAACCCACCCAAGCATTTTTTTGAATTTTTCCGCCCACGCCCAACCCACCCGCCACCCGTAAAAAAGGTTCACCCAGACCCACCCGCACCCGCAAGAAAATCATTGCCCGCCCGCACCCGGGATGTAGTATCTTTTCACCCGCAGCCGGTCGTGCCCGCTATTGTCTATCCCTTCGACCATTTACAGACAATAGGACATTATGATGTGACATGACAAAATCAAACACGCTCCGCGCGCGCGCGCGCGCGCGCGCGCGCGCGCGAGAGAGAGAGAGAGAGAGAGAGAGAGAGAGAGAGAGAGAGAGAGAGCTTTGTCTCTCTCACAGGAATCGCCCACGTCTCTCTCTATCTGTCTCTCTCACAGGAATCGCCCACGTCACGGCCTTGCCTCTCTCTCTCTCTCTCTCATCGGATTTCACGCCTGAATCGGACTGTGTTTGTGGAGAGATGCGAAAAAGTG